ACCCAATCCAGCTCCAGGTTGAAGTGAATCCACAACCTGATTGGCCTACAGGAGAATCCCGGAATTAGCCAATCACGTGCAGCCCATTGTGTAAATAATGTATATAAAGCAGATATTGTGGGGGAACTTCCATTCCTCCTCACCACTATGAGCTGAGTAAAGAGCATGAAATCCACTCTCAACTCCAAGTATATTTCAGGGGGCCACATGCCAACAGTGAGTGTGGCCAAAGCTGAGTGTGGCCATGCCACACTCTCAAATGCATATGAAAAAATTGCTTGGGTGGGCCAGCCACTCCTGTATCAAAAAGGAATGTTCGACTTGACCCATATGCTCTTCCTCACTCACATAGTCACATTATTCACACTTTCCCCAGTTGCCCCTCCATGGAATCAGATCTTGCTGGAGCAGCTTACACAGACTGGGAGTGCATGTAAAGGGCATCATGGTTATGGCAGCTTCCCTGCCTCTCTGTTTTATTTTCAGAACAACAAGCAGCAGTTCTTTGGGATGTCATCCACCGTGAGTGCAGCTCAGCTTGACAGGATTTCTCTGTGTGTAATCTGGCAACAAACTAGATTAACCATGGTTAAGTGTTGGCCACACCTTTATCTCAATATTGCATGACTTGATATCATTATTATATTTATTAAATTTACATCCTGCCCTCTCTCCTTACAGAGCCCAGGGTGGCAAACAGACACAGAATTTTAAAACAAATAATTGACACCCAGTATTCAGTGGCATTGAGTTGTAGCCCACCATGTCCTACTCAGAGCAGAACCAATGAAATATATTGATCTAAGTTAGTTATATCCAGTCAATTCAGTGGATCTACTCTGAATAGGACTAGCAATGGATACAACCCTCTGAGTCCAGGCAAGTTTAATCCTTGTAAAACTGTTTCATACCAAACACACACACACACACACACACACACACACACACATTGTCAAATGTAATTTTCTTCTCACCCTTTAAATGCATTTTATTTAACTCCAACAACAGAATCTGGTTGTGATAAAGGAAATATTTGCATGATAAAGTGGAAGGGAAAGGCAGAGAGATTCTGGTCTCTTTAAGCAGGTATTGTTATGCATTTTATGCCAACAGACATTCAAAAGCTGTGCATTATTTACCCGCAAATGATTATGAAAAATGTAAGCCTCATAAAGTACTTTACTTGATACTCTTGTAGTTTAAATGGGCTGAAAGAGTTGATTGTTGTTTGTTTGAAAAACAGCATTCTCATTCATATCTCCTTCAGTGAATTGGAGCAACATTAACTTGGAGAACAACCCCCCTCTTTCCCCCCCAAGGAACCCCCAAATTTGGCATGTTCAACTGCACCCAAATAAATTCCAAAATATGGAAATGCAGTTGTTTCCATCCATCACTGCTGGGATACGATGCACTCATGAAGATTGTTCTGAATTATTGGGCGATCCCAATGGGTTAGTGTGCATAGAGTTTGGGTGGTGTTTTTTTACTGCATGGATGAAGTGCCTTTTGACTGAAGATGGATGCTGCAGCTCAATCTTTCATTTCATAATAAATAAATAAAAATTATTTGTTCCAAGAGAAGATAATTAGAATAAATTATGGCATGAAAATTACATGGTGAAGGTGTCAAAAATAGTGCAATATCTGTTCAAATGTTTGATTTCTCATTAGGAGAAGCAGAAAGAGTAATTTATGAAAAAGGGAATTTAAGAATGGGAAGGCAGGGCTTCTTCTTTACAGACATGGCATGTTGCATATGTGCATTTTATTTGCATTGTTGCTATTGCTTTTTTGGATGGAGAAATCTGCCAGCTTCAGTTTCTCAGTCTCCTGATCTTATGCTCAGCTTCCCTCATCTGTGCGTATATTTGAATTTTTCTTTTTAAGAAATACTGTAAGTCTGCATGAAAATCTACCTTCATTTTTCTGCACCTTTTCCCTGTTATACAGGGTTTTTTTGCACACAATTTTGCCTTGTATATACCTAGTAAATGCATGCAATGTCCACCTAAGAAAATGTATTGTGTATGTAGATATATGCATTTTCACTAATATGTCCATTTTTGTATGTATTGGAGAACCGCACCACAAAATTCAGCAAAGTCCAACTCTCAAAGGAGATATATATCAGTTCAGGAAATGCCAGTTTGGGATGTTCACATGAAAAATGTGAGCTGAGCAAATTTCTCCCCCCTTGATATGTGGTCATGTGACATGTGGCCACATTTCAGGTCCTGTTTTATCTTTCCCCACTCCTGCTTATGGCTACTGTATCCAAAATACACTGCCCTGTTCTAAGATTTCTTTAGCTTGAATGACTAAGGGCCAATCTGGACACAAGTGGCATGGGAATTTTGTGATTGGAGCTCCTGACACCTTTTTCCTTCCCACCCCCAAAAAGAAAGCTGTGATGGATGTAAGATTTGTATGAAGGCATGAGGAGTGATGGAAAACATTCCTTTCTCCTTCTATTCCGTTCATTTCTCTATATCTGAGATGGCAAACCTCAGGCTTGGGGACCAAATGCAGCCCTCCAGACCTCTCTAACTGGACTCTCCCCAGCACACACAGCCTCTCCCCAGGGTTGAGTTTCCTGAACGCTCAGGAAATATACCTAAGGATGATGATGATGATGACAACAACGTCCCATGTTTAATATTTAACCACATCAAAAAAGCAACGTGAAGAGCAGTCTTTAAAAGGTTCATTTTGGAACATGCTGATGTTAATGGGAGTTGACTGGTGAATGTGCATCAACATTAGTGACTGTGCATATGAAAGTGTTGAGAATGCGCAGAAATTGATTGTGTCAATGGGATTTTGCTCATTGCTTGGTCGATATATGGATAATTGCCAACTTGATGTCGGACAACTGGAATTGATGACCAATATCTCGTATATGCCCTTGTGAGTAAAGATGTGTTAAAACAATCCATTTATTCCCAAGGCATTTTCTACCTTTTTGCTCCATGGTTACCTAGAAATTTTCTCAGAGATCCTTACTTACATAGGAATTATAGGCATAAATTGAATGTGCAGCCAAATGTGCATGCGTTGCAGATGAGATCATACAAAAGAGCAGCCATTGTGGATGCTGCTTGTTGCTTTTGGTGGCATTGCACTTTCAAAGGCGGCTTCCAGATGCGGACGCTGCCCATTGCTATGAATAGGATGTGCCTCCTCTTTCTTAAAACCCCAGCTAAGAGATGGGGAATTCAGCATTCAACATTCTCCCTTCCCCAACCAAAAAAGGTGCCTTTAGGACAATTACTTCTCCAAGTGGGATTACAATAACCAGAGCAGAAATCACATCTTGGTTACTGCAACATCCCTATATGCCAATATACTTCTCAATTGGCTTTGTGCATTCTTCTCAGGCAATATGGAACACAGGAAGGTGCCTTATACTGCATCAGACTATTTGTACATCTAGGAAAGTATTGTCTGCTAGGGCTGGGCAAATCTGTCGATTTTGGCTTCTCTTAGTTACTCACATTTCCACTCTTAAGTTCTCCACATTTCTTCATGAATTTCTCTCAGTATTCATGTTTCTGTGCAATTTTACCTCACACACATCTTTGCAAAGCAATTCCCCCCAATATAATGTGTTTTGCATGCTCTTTTCATTAGTATCTACATTTTTATGTACACTTTACGCTAGTTTGTTTTTGTACAGATGACTTGGCTGGAGAACTGCAAAGCAAACCTGTTTTGAATAGTGCAAATTAGGTTGGTTTGCCTTTTAATGTAAACTGAATTGCATTTCTCCCTATACCTACTGTCTCACAGTGATGCCCGCTCAACAAGAGGTCAACTCCTACCAAATCCCTTTAACTGGATGCAGTGGTGGAGGAAGGGAGGTGTGGGGGGTGCGGGCTGCCCTGGGTGTCATCACTGAAGGGGGGTGTGTGACAAAATGAGTTTTTAAAAAATTGGGCTCACAAAACTTTTTAGGAGTGATGTGGTAGCTTAGGCACCTGCAGGTTCTGCACTGCCTGAAACGGCAGCGTGGGACTTGCCTACTGCCTGCTGCCTCTCCCTCAGCTGCCCTACAGATGAGGGGGAGGTGGCGGAGAGGCTCCAAGTGTCAGAGAGGCTCACCCTGCCCCCATGGCACAGATCACCCTGCCCCCAGCTGCAGGACACCCCCCTCCCCGGCACCTGAGCAGCTAGCTATGCCGCTGACTGGATGTACCAGGGATTGAACCTAGAGCCTTCTGCAAGTAGAGCATGTCCTATACTACTGTGGGACAAGATCCCTCCCCAAACATATACATACTCTACAAGTGAAGAGCAAGTACAGTGGTACCTCTGGTTATGTACTTAATTCGTTCCGGAGGTCCGTTCTTAACCTGAAACTGTTCTTAACCTGAGACACCACTTTAGCTAATGGGGCCTCCCACCGCTGCTGCGCCACCACTGCGCAATTTCTATTCTCACCCTGAAGCAAAGTTCTTAACCCGAGGGATTATTTCTGGGTTAGCGGAGTCTGTAACCTGAAGCTTATGTAACCTGAAGCCTACGTAACCCAAGGTACCACTGTATATGGACTGGCCTGTGAACATAATACTGCATGGATAACGTCCAGCTGCACCAATTCTCCAGCATCGCTGTGAGATTTGCATTGCAGGTTGACTGGGCAGCATTTGAAATCCCTGTCTTTTGCTTGTCTTTCCATCCTCCCTGTACCTCCTCTGTGAAAATGGACAGTCATTCCTGTGCTGTTGGTGCAAAAGTGCACAAAAAAATTCACAAACCTTTCCCATTGCATTAACAGCAATGCAAAGGGTAGGTTGAGTTCATGCTGGCAAATGTTGTGAGTGAAGCATGTAGGCTAAGTGATAGCCTGCTGCTTTCTTTGTACAGTGCCGCCCTGCTAAAAGGAAAGTCGAGGGAAGCTGTATGGCTATTAAAGGAAAACATACCTTCTTGTCAGAGGAAAAAGTAGTGACAACATGAACCAAAACCTTCACTATCTAAGTACTGTCAGCAGGAGCTGCTAGTGTGTGTGTGTGTGTGTGTGTGTGTGTGTGCATGCGCGCGCGCACACACACACACTTACATGGCTCATAATCTTGAGTGAATGCACTTGGATCAGTAGAGACAAAGACAGAATCGACACTGGCACATCCTGTCAGCTAAAATTCCAGAGGTGAAATCAGTGCATCTGAAATCAGGTCCTGACAATTGCATGGAGATGTTGTCATGTTTAGGAAGTGAGTTTAAAAGCAGCAGGGTAGAGAGCACAATAAAAGGTGAATGGAGCCACCAATCAGAGTCTTCGGGTATACCATGGGGCCATTGTCCTCTGTGAGTGGGGAAAGGGGTTGGGAGTGTGGGAAAACAATACCTATTATATTTCACGTCAATGTTGCTGTCATTCGGTCGCTGGAAAGATTTCAAACAGATAAACTCCCCTTTGGGATGGGAAGCTGCCTTGGCAGCCAAATCTAGGCCTTGTTTTGATTGATAAACCCTTTGTGACAAGGGGAGATAAAAAGCAGCCCCTTGTTTGGTTCATATAAATAGGAAATTAGCTGGCAAAGTTGTCAAAGATAATTAACTCTCAGATTGACTACGTCTATTCAGGTTGATGTCCTGAAATTATGTAGAAATGCACATGTCAACGCTCTGACAGAATTTGGTGTTGATCAGATAAACAGGGTTTGAGATGCCTGATTGTTTTTTTTATATATATAAAAAGAAATGAAAATGAAAAAAAACATAGTAAAGCGAAGCTTGGATGTTTTTTTAAAAAATCATTATGCATTCTCTTTAGCCGCAGCAGCAAGTATCAAACAGCAGCATTGTGCTTTAATGTGGGAGATTCAGGGATCAAGAGATAAAGTCAAGGGCTGTGCTTTAGAGCAATGCTTCCACCCCTTCTGCTCTTCAGGTTTTTAAAAGGGAGAAATCATAACGATAACAATGTAATAAAGGCCGGGAAGCTAATCTTTTTCAGGAAATAATAAAAAAGCAAGAGGTAGGCATCTGAGAGATGAAAAGATAAGGATCATGCAACAATTTGTCACTCTTTCAAAATAGCATCTCGCTGCTCCGATGTAAGCTTGGTGACTGGCAACGGAAAGCTCCAGTTGTGGGTTGCAGAGCCTATGCTAGCCCTATTATCAAGAATGTGGAAGAAGTTACAGCAAAATCTGAACCATGTTTATTCAGCCCCCCAGCAAATGCCCTGGTGTACTGCTGCTTCCCTCCACCTCAGCCTCTGACGCTGCTGAGACTGAAATGGCAGTGTTGTGGTGATGTGCACAGCAGCTGAGCAGGGCAGTTGCTGGGGAGCTACCCTGGCCTTCCTGACTGTTCCTCTGTGGCTCACCTGGGCGACTCGCTTACCTGTCTGCCTGAGCAATCTGCCTGCTGTTCCATCCTCATGCTGCAATTTGCACGGCCACCTACTGGTGGCTACACAAACTGCAGCATGACAACAGCTTTGTGTTTATATGTATATAAAATAAGAAATGCAAATTGTTGTGCAAATTAAAACAAATAAATCACAGGTGTATGAGGCAAGAAGATGGAATAGACTTATGAGCGAATACAAGTGAAGGTTACATGGAGGAGAAATAGATTAATTTGCCCATCTCTGAGATATGTGCACACACACACACACACACACAGAGAGAGAGAGAGAGAGAGAGAGAGATGGGTGAATATCTCAATTTTGGTTTCTTGAAGTTTCTGATTTTTTTCTGTTTTAAGTTCAGTTCTCTGCATTTCCAGATCAGTCTGGGATTTTTTTAAAAAAATAAGCCCTTATGAAAACCCATCAGCATTTCAATGCATCTTTCTTCTAATATGCATATTTTTGTTTCCAAATTTCCTTAACTTGCACCTCTATGCAAAACATTTCCCCCTAATATAATGCATTACTGTATGTTATTTTTCACAAATATGTGCATTTCTATGCACATTTTACCCAAGTGTATATTTCTGTACATGGTACTTGGCTGGAGAACTGCATTGCAAAATCTGGAGAAGTGTGAATTTAGCTATATTTCAGTTCACATATTGCTTTGGAAATTGGGCAAGTTCTCCTTTAAATGCAAACTAAATCAGATTTCACCCCACACACCTATTTCATGGCTGAATGTGAAAAAGATCAGGCAATTATGTCTATATTAAACTTACTTGCAAAGATCCTAATTTATAAACTGATTTGATCCCCCCTCCATTTCCCCCCACTTTTGTCATTTGCTTCTACTCAGTGCTTTTTTTCTAGAAAAAAAGCTGGCACTACTCACCACATAGTTGTTACAGTGAGTGCCACACTTTTTAACTAGTGCTTTCCTTCTAGAAAAAAAGGTGCCAGTACTGCATACCCTTGAATACTCCCAGGGAAAAAAGCACAGCTTCTGCTACAGATTAAAGATGATATTTGCAATGTTCACAAACCTCTGAAAGTTCACTTGCCTGTGTTGCTCAATTCTTCTTTTTATATAAGTTGGAAAAATGAAATGTCTCTAAACCCCTAACTTAAATATTTAATAGAGGTGATTACTGAATACCCATATCCTGCACTCAACCACTCTTCTTCTCTGGCAACAAAATCCACAGCCCTGTGGACCTCTGCAGAGTAAAATCAAAACACAGCTCAAGAAGAATTAAATACTCTTAAGAATAGATGCCATTTTTTGTGGGTTTGGGATGATGAATCTACTCCACTTTCAGCCTTACCAACTGCCAACCCTTAATGTACATAGCAAAGTCAGGTCTTATGGCATATTAAATAAAACCCACACATTTTTAGAAAATAATCTACTGTTGTAATACTTCATATTCTTTTACAAAAACAAAGCAACATGAACTTTAGTAAAGTTTGATTTCCATGAGAAACTTTTCTGTTTGGTGGTTCAATCCATTTTTTCCCATGGGGAGGGAAGACTCCAAAACCCCAATGTTTTGTTTGCATTTAATTTAAATAAGTGCAAGACATGAAGGGGCAGGGAGATGTCAGCGAAAGGGATGCAGGCTATTGTTTATTTCCAGTTACCTCTCTCATTGCAGTTCATTTTCCTAACAATTGGTCTGGGGACGAGCACTGAGAATTAGCAGCAAGTAGAGAGGAAAGCTAGAGAGAAGTAGCAAATAGAGAAAACTGGCCAGCAATTCCTCTGTATTATAGGGTAAGGATAATAGCTCAGCGGTAGAGCACCTGCTTCATGCACAAAGGTCTCAGGTTCAATCCCTGCCATCTCCAGGTAGGGCTGAGAAAGACCTCCTGTCTGAAATAATGAGTTTAACGGGCCAATGGTTTGCCTTGGTATAAAGCAGCTTCTCATATACCTGTCTGGAATCATCCACAGATAAGTCAATCACTGGCTACCAACCCTGATGGATATGTTCTGCCTCCTTTATTGGAGGCAACATGCTACTGAATACCAGTTTCTGGAAATCTCAGGAGGGGAGAGTGCTGACATGCTCAGATGGTGCTTTCAGGCTTCTTTGTTGGCCCCTGCAAGAACACGATGCTGGACTAAACGGGCCACTAGCCTGATCTAGCAGGCTTTTCTTTTTTGTAGGCTTTCCTTCCTGCTCCCCAGTCTATCTTGGCAGTCTGCAGCCCAGTAACAAACATAGTGCTGATTTTACTCCAGTCTTCATCTTACCAAGTATTTTCCCTACTGCTGTTCCTGTGAAACATGAGGCTCACCCACATGTACCTTTTGCCTCATGGTTTCTAGACACAGGTCCACGCTTTCCCAGGCTGTGTCTAAGCAGCTTCCTGCCCCCCGCCACCCAGACACAGACTGGAAAAGCATGGATGAAAATTAGTGTAGGTGAGCTCAGCGATTCAGAATCTCAGGCCCCATGTTGGAAGTGGCCCTTTGGGTTTGGCTGTGTGGCCCTGGGTACTCTCCCAGACTGCCCCAAAGTGTCTTTGCCTGGCTGGAATGTGTCCTTAAATGCTGGTGTTGCCTCTTGCTTCCCTGGATGGGATACAGAGAAGGAAGTGTAGAAACTAGGCTAATGCACAAAAGTAAAATTGGGTGGTAGTTCTACCCACATTTGCCTCTTTCCCCATCCATCACTGATATGTAGCCCCTGGAAGGTTGCCCTGAAGGGAACATGGCCATGATGGTTGAAAATGTTTCCCCATCCCTGTTTCACGACCTGTTCCCTATATCCACCAATGACCAGGCTGCTCCCATCCCTGACAACTCCTTGTGCAATGCTAGTACACAAAGACTTTAGGAAAAACCTTAATTGTACTCAAACACTTCTGCACGTGCAGCTGCCTTAAAGGAGAAGAGAATGATGAGATCCACTGCTGATGCTGAAAATGTCTTATTTACTAAGCCGTTTGTTCCTTTGCATATGTCGTTGGAAAGGTGGCTTTTGCAAAATCTGCAGGTCAGGTTTTTTTCAGCTGCCACTTCCCTGTGAAATAAAATATTACCTTATATATTAAAAAATAAAACATCCTTAGTGAACTGCAAAGACAATCCCCAAATAATTGTAAGCAGCCCTCTCTGGTTTTCTGTTGCAACCAATCTCATTCCTTTGTACATGTGCGGCGGGGGAATTCCTGCGTTCCCCCTTCCAAGCAAATGGCATTTGGGTCTGTGTTGAGGAAGGAATATCTAAGGCTGGTGGTTTAAGAAGCACCTGCAGATTTAATATCTCAGTACAATAAACGGAGCTTCTCTTAAGAATATCATTTAGCACAAGAGAGGCAGAAACTGCTGCTAAATATTGAATATTACCATTCCCCACAATGAAAATTTCATCCCATTTTACTTCCATAGTAATGTCTGTGGCAGATGCCTTGATTTTGTTGAGTCTGTGTATTTCTAATGGCTTTCAAAAAGAGAAGCCCCATTGCCACGATTATTGCAACTCCTACCCTGTAGTAGCATGGTGGAATGAAACTGAGACATGATTTTGCTAACTCCATTCCTGTTCTTCTTCCCCTCCTTTCTGGTGTATAGAGAAGGGGGGGGATTTGAATTGACTAATTTACACCTCCCCAAACATTACATGAACTGAAATGCAGCCAGCCTTCAAAGGGGAGAGACTGGTGGTGAGGCTCTAAGCTTCTCCGTTTTTCTTGGGACTTCATCTCCAGCTCACAGCCAATGCTCTTAATGTGGATTTGTTATCAGCATGGCCTCACAGCTATTACCCCCCAATTTTCAGAGGGCTGAATCAGCAAGCTAAAGGAAACCAGGACAAGTTGTTGACTTGTGTTGGACCATATCTATGTTCTGCAAAGGACCAGATCTCTTATCTTGTCTTTGCTCCAAATTGGGAATATGATCCTTCAACAGCTTTGCCCTAAGGTGGAAAATATTTGGAGATGTTCCACCACCCACATATTGGGTTTCATGACACCTCAAGGCTCCCCCCCTGCCTTCCCCTAAAGCTACTGCCAATTGCAGTACAAGACAGTGAGTCATTAGAAGAAAGCGGGGTGGTGATGGGGGATAAGGGTTTCATAACCAATATCTCAGACCCACCTTTTCCCCAGAGATCAAAGAACACTTGGTTCTCCCAGTTGGGTGGGAAACACAGATTCACAGGGTTTTTTTGGCAGATGTTTGGAAGCTAGATAAATGTGCCAAAGATTACTTCATTTCCAAGTTAATAACTGTTTTGTGGTGTGATTCTCAGGGTCTGTGGCAAAGAGCAGTGGCTTGCTTCTGCAGCCTGATTCTGCCTTCCCCTCCTCACTACTAGAGACCATGGTTGGTTGGAGGCATTTTCCTGCCTAAGCAGGAACAGCAAATTCCCTCCCTGAATTTGGGGGCAAGGCTAAGAGAAGTTGTGTTTCCTTCTACCTGCTGACCATACTGAGGGTTGAATTCTGTGGGGTGCTGCTGTCATGAGGCGGTGGCTAGCTAGTCTAGCATCCTGTTCTCACAGTGGCCTACAAGATGCCCATTGAGGCCTGCAAGCAATAGACAGACAGTCTAAAAGCACCCCCCCAAATGTCTCTCTGTGTGTAAAAACTAGGCTCCTGTACACTTTTACATTCAGTCCTCCACCTACTTTTGTATCTACTCCCATCCATCAGTGGCATGTGGCCCTTGGAAGGCTTCCTGGAAGGGAATGTGGCCCTTGGGTTGAACATGATTCCCCATGCCCAACCCCTGTTTAAAAGCATTGTTAATGGTGGTGGTACAGGAGTGTTTCATACAGGAGAATCTGATGCTTTAATTTCACATAAACTTTTTGCCCCAGCCACAATTGTCTATCTCCCGTCTCAGACTTTTTTTATATAAAAAAATTGAATGACTGCTACAACAAAACAGAGCTCCTTTTGTAGCTATAAATACAGCTGTCTGTTGGATTGTGCCCAAGGGGTTGTGCATCATAGTTTGCTAAATTTTAATCATGCTAATGTTTGCATTTGTGTGGAGTTCACATGTCCCACAAAGCTCTTAATCCCCCGTTTGCCGTCCTAGGCAAAATGCCCAGTCTCACTTGGGGCTTTGCTAGCAAACAGCTCTGATTCCATTGACTTCTCACCACCACACTGTGTAATGCATTTATAGATCTGATAAGAGCTTTGCCTGAGATCTAGTCTCCTTAGAGGAAAGATGGGAGCGGCTGATGATGATATTGGATTCTCTCTGCTGCTTCCCTCTCCCCTCCACACGCACAATTCAACATCAGTATCCTGACAAATAATGAAATTCATCTGTCTCTCTTGATGGTGCACTCACAAGCGCACACCATCAGCCTTTTCTCAACCTGACAGCTGGGAGAGATTCCTTAGTGAAACTACACGGTAACACAACATTTATTCTAAGTGGTTTGAAAAGTGATCTGCAATCGCTGCTGGAAACCTGTCAATGAAGTGCTCCAGAGATCGCTGTCAGGATGCCTTGAGTTTAGGAGGGGAAAAAACACCTATTCATTTATATAGTGCTGTAGAGAGTTCAATGAGTTAGCATATATTGTCTCAGTGCACCAGTTTTGTAAGGTAAGCAAGTATTGTTATTCTCAAGATGGGGAAGAGCAGGCACACTGGGTTCTGCCCAACACTAGGGGGCCTGGCACGTGTGTGTGATGTCACACGTGTGGCATGCATGAGGTCACATGGTGGGAGGAGGCCCAATGGGGCCTGTTGCACCCTCTGAAAGGCCCACCTGAGAGGCGCGGGAACTCAACTGAGAGGGGGCAGAACTAAGTTCCTGTGAGTCCCCACTGAAAAAAGCCCTGCTTACAACCTTATGAGTAATGGACCAGCAAAGGAAAAAGAGGCAAGGAAGGGAAGAATAATAATAATAACTTCAGGTGCATTAAAGTTAAATAACAATTGGGATATAGTTTTGTGATGGGAAGGGCTGAGTGCCAGTTGGTCCTGTGGAGTCGATGGAGTGACCTCTATCTCTCTTTAATGCAGCTGGGTGGAATGGCCATGGATGAAGATGGCTTTGGGAGGGCAGGAGATCAAGAGCAGGTGACCCACAACAGGCATGTGAAGGAGGCCTCATGATGACATCTCACCTCTGATGGAAATGAGTACCACAAATGCTGATGATGATCTCCTTTCTTAATAGAAGAACATAAGAAGAGTCTGACATCCTGTTCTCACAGTAGCCAACTAGATGCCTAAAGGAAAACCTCAAGCAGGATCCCCAAAACTCCCCATAGATAAAAGACAGAGTATTCTAGCCTCCATCAAGCAAGAAGGACAAATTTACTCTGAGACAGCCAATTGGAACAAATGGGTCATTAAGTTATTCTGAAGAACCTGGAATGTAGCTTCCTGCTGCAGAGTCCTAAAGATGGGGAGCCACCACAGAGAAGTCTTGTGGTTGCCCACCTCGCAGATGTGTTTTGTGGCCACCCAATCACATGGGGTGTACACATCCAGAGGGCCTTCAGTTGAGATCTCAATCTGTGAGCTGGATGGTACATTGGCAAGGAAAGGGAACCTGTCTTTCTCCTGATATTCTTGGAATGCAATTCCCCTCACCCCTGCCCTCACCATTGACCATGGCGGCTGGGGATAATGGGAGCTGAACTTTGCCCTATAGGAATGTTCTTTAAAATGTTGGCGATTCCCTTTCATTTTAATGTGTGTGGTGGTGGTGGGAGAAAAATGGATGGCCTAGGAATAAGCTAATGGATGGGGAGAAAGAGAGGGGTGATAAAAGCAAATCTTCCGAAACTTGTTATTGTGCCAGTTTTGTTGGTAGCTAAAAACAAAGCATCAAGTCCCAGACGAAAATATTTATTAAACCACTG